CATGAATTTGAAGCATTAGCCTATTATTGTCCTAGATTTAGCGGTGCTAATGCATACTTGAACTGCAAAATTGAAGGTGTAGGTGCGATCCACTTCGAGGTTGCGAACAGCGTGGCTAAGGTTGGGTGGTGTTCCACCAAGGGTGAGGGTACTAAATACATAAATATATAGGTTACCCTCGGCCCCTCGTGGCACGCCTGTGAAAGCATGAGCACACTAATACAAACATATATGATCGGAGGGTGCACAAAAGAAGTACAGGTGAAACAGTAACAAATATGCATGCCTGTAGCTTTTTGTGTTTGCAAACCTAGTCCTGTTGCGTTAGTTTGTTGAGGTGACTCTGAAGTTGTAGGCTTGCTCTCCTAATCCTCCCTCAAAGAAAGACCCAGGGAGACTTCGAATTGAATAACGCACTTCATGTGTGTAAGCACCGCCGAAACAGCCAAGTAACAGCGACTTCATTAAGAGCCTAGACACTTCCGCTACGTCGCAGTGCTTTTAGACAAATCTTTGTAACTTTTATACGGCGAACGCAAGCCAAGCGGAAACCAACCATGTCCTGGAACACTGCTACTGAATCATTTGCTGGGACGTAATTAACCCAAACCACCCAGCTGGCGCCGCAAGGAGTTTGTTCGGCTAGCCAGCCAGCGGCTCTGCTAGCCAGCATCGTGCATCTGTCAGAGAGAATTTGTGGTGGAAATCCGAGCTTACACAAGGAACGTTAGCTTAAAGAGCTTTAAATTCCCTTTAATTTTAAGATGGACTGTACCTCATAGCATCGGATTGGTGCGAGGAAGTGCATTAGCTATCGTCAGCGAGTGGGTATAGGGTACCCGGCAGAAACAGTGGAAGGCGTCGTTATGGTAGAGTAAACAGAGCAGTGGGCCGACGAAACACACATGGAAGGCTCCACTGGTAAGCGGTTTGCCGGAAGACGCGGTGTCACCCAGGCTTATAGGGTATTTGATAGACAGGATTTGAACCAGGAAAGCCGTCTTACAACCATGTCAAAAAGGCGCATTAAGTCAGTAATTCCCTTGTAAAACGCGGTCGCATGCCTCCTTCATGCTCAGCAAGGTGATAGTCCCAGCACATGCCATTTTTATCGCCTTTGTGAAGTAGCTTCATAACTCAATCATGCATTTTCGACATCATTTGGGCGATAAGAGCCCGTGTTGAGGTCAATTAGTGAGAGTGCTTGACACTCACAAGCTGAGAACGCCTCCTTGCCAAGCCTTTCCATCGCTCATGAGGTGATGGGTGGATGACTGATGTTACAATAATAGACAACGCTGAAACGGGAACCATGTTTGTGTCGTGTTGCGACTGTGGCGCGTTTTCAACTAGTAAGACGAGTATGGTTTGTCATGGTAAGGGTAAATATGTTGAGAAGGAGCGCGGGAAGGACTTGACATCCAAGTGTCAATGCGACCGTTGCAAGGTCGTTTGGGCCGGGGTAGTTGAGCGCAATAACCGCACACGTAGTACTTCGCAGGTCAAGTTCGATGAGATTCAAGTCATCATACGGGGGATGGGTGTCAAAAGTGGTGGTGCCGAGTCGGCCATTCTGAGGAGTCGCAAGGGTGATTGTTAAAGAAGTCAGATAGGCTGGCAGTGTCGGTTATGTTTGTGTCGGCAGGACGTGCCAATGAAGTTAATGTCAATGCTACCCAGATAGTCCTGCTGTTCATCAACTGGTTAAGGTATTTGACCCTGTGGTTGGTGATAAATAAATAAATAACTGTTTATTCTCGACAATACGTGGCACACCTTTACAGGCGTGAGCATATTTAGCTAACGTAGTGTGATCAAATTGTACAAAGGGACATGTTTGGCGTAAAAGTGTACGTAAGTATATGGGTGTATATACGTATGTAATTGTGTAGGAATGTAGCTTGTGTTTTTTAATGCGTCGCAGCTTGTTTGACTGTTTGTTATCGTCAGGAACGTGAGAATAAGCGATTGATTTCCGTGGGTGGAATAGCGTTTTCCGAATATCCACAGGCCAGTGACTTCAGTTTGTGGCGAGTCACATCCGCCACGTCGCAGTGTTGTTAAGCAGACATTTGTGGCTTTTTGCAGGGAGAACGTTTGCCAGGCGAAAACCCACCACGTCCTGGAACACTGCCGCCGCACTGTTTGCTGGAACGGGTTAAACCCGAACCACCCAGCTGACACCACGAGGAGGTTGTTCGGCTGGCCAGCCGGTAGTTCGGCTAGCCAGCTCGACGTTTGCAGCAGACCAGGCAGATACAGCTTGTTTGTTTCTCCGCGAGATTAGCATGTCGGTAATACGTATCGCGAGGTGGAACTCATTTGTTTTGTTGTATCTAGAGAGCATTTTTTCAGCTGCGTATGTAGGAATCGTTTTTCGATATCATCTTTATACTCTATTTCTGCTTAGGAGCGACTCCGTCGAAACAACCAATAAGGTAGTGGTCAATCTGGTAAGTCGTCGTTACAATATCACTTATTAGGTATGTCTAAGTTGAGGAGAACGGGAGAGCTTGCCCAACTGGTCCGTTGGAGAGGACGGAACGTCCCTTGTGGAAGTCGTTGGGGTGCGCATACGTAAGAGGTCTGAACGGTAGCTTATATACTTTGTGCTACTGCCCGGTAGTTTATCGAGCAAGCAGGCCTGTGGATTCATGATTTCTTTCGAGAATATTAAGTCCAGGAGTTAAGAATTCCCAGTAGGTTGAAATCCTGTTGGATCCAATAATATTCAAAAGTGAGTTTGGCAAAGCCATTCATTTGTGAGGTGCTTGCCGAGGATACCATCCAGTGTGTGCCCCCTTAAACTCGTCCCCCAGTATCTTGTACCTTGCACGCAATGGTGCAACCTTATTGAAGATATCATCTAGTTCACTTATTTCAGAGGACGTGATGTATGGTCGGCTGTACACGCATGCGATGTGGAGGTCGAGTTGTTTGACGTCAGCTTGGATTCGTATTGAGCCCTCCAGGTAACCCATAGATATGAGGTGGAAGGAAGATGCGTGTAAGGTATAACTAACGCCCACCACGCATCCTGCGCCTCGGCGCTTCTTACATCCATGGAATAAAGTAGTGTAACGCAGAAGTTGAGGAGTTATTGCAGACGAACAGGCAGTGTGCCGAGATTCTGTGACCAAAATCACCAGTGCGCTACTAAGCATAATAAGAGGTCCTAAGCAGTACATCTTGTTTTTAACAGTCGGGGCATTGATGCGGAGCATACGATATACCACAGTCATACCGGAATGACTTAGGTTACGTGCGCTGTTTGCCCGTGAGATGTTAACAGGACCGAAGGTGCCAGTTGGCGAACAAACTTTGGGTGAATTAGTTTAGCTGTGCTAAAAATCCAACGTCATACCTATCGGCTAACAGTGTGGGAAGGGCCACGTTTGCGTATATATGTCATGAGATGTGTCCCTTGGGTCAGCGGTAGCTATAAGTAGAAGTTATTTGTGGTATGCGGAACTACGTCCAGGGAAGTGTTGCCATTGAGGTGACTACAAAAGTAAATCAGCTAGGCGATCAAGTGAAAAGACGTCGAATGTGAATTGTAAAAGAAGTGGTGTTGACAAAGTGGCAAAAGCAGGCCGTTCGGCATCGAATGCATTCTGTCCAGAGATTGTTTTAGATGGCAGTCGTCAGTAGCTAGCTCTACGCGGGCTCAGAACTGGGCCCACGGCCTGCGGATACTTTGCAAAAAGCTTACACTATGTATCGATATGCCTTGTGACCTGGTCGTGTGTGGCTGAAGGAATACTGCTTGGTGAAGTTTAGGTTAGGAGGGGTGTGTGAAATACGTCCGATTGGGGTGTCCATATGGGCTTTGTTCATACATGTTCGCGGCTGTTCTGGTGATGTAGTGGGGTTTGTTCGGAGTATGCGTGCACTTTATCGGCTTTGGAGTGTTGGGTAGGTAGTTCCTACGATGAGACAATGTTTGCTTGGCAGTTATCTGCGGTCTGTGGCGGAGGAGTGAAGGCTTGTTTTCCGCGGATGAGCTATTTGGGGCGTGGCGTTTCTGGTAATATCAGAAAGTTAGTTTTAGCCAAATCGGGACGTACGTTTGCTGCACTGGTATGGATTTGTTGGGAGCTGAAGGGAGACAACCATCAGGCACCGTTGCTCTGAGTCCCTGGTGGCTGACAGCGTATTGGTAGAGAGTTGCGTGCGGCCATTAGCGAGGCTGACTACAGTAGTATAGGATAGGAATCCCATGCTTCCACCTTCAGAGTCTAGGTTGCACACGTCGAATTAGGTAATGCGCTGCGCACTGCATCGGTCACATTAAAGACAACATTCGTGGTCATAGCTAATCACAAGGACTTGATAACATTCTCCTTACTATTGATCACAAAAATTTCATACTCGGAATAGCCATATGATCCTCCTGTTGAGAGCCGCGGGCTTCCGTGTTTAGTGCGCAGGTTAGTCGTACTAGATTTGGAAAGCTGCAGGGGTAATCAAATGCTTAGTAGATGGCAGGATGCTCATATCACTACCACTTAGTAGGAGACCACAGTAAACCGAAAGGGAAGGTAGTGGAGAAAGAATAGACGGCTGTATAACTGAGGTACAACGGGCTCCCTACTAGAGATAACTGCAAGGTCAAGCTCGGGCCTGCTATATTATCCACCGGGGTTCCAGTCAGGAAAAGCGTCAGTACTATTCGCCAACGAAATACATGCAATCTGGGGCAAAGGGTGTTTTCATTGCCGAACCCTGCTTATAGTACGCCTTAAATACCTAATTTCTACAGTGTGTGCGTACAACAACAGTTACTTTCCAAGCGTCCATGACTAGCTTCCACTACAGCAATGTTATTTGAGTTATCTGGTTGCAGTTCCGAGAAGTAGACGGTCCCTATGTACACACCTAACTATAAATAAATGTTTTACCGAAGGTAAAGGAAGCAACTTTACTGTATTAAAGTAATAAAATATAAAAATAAGCGTATGAACGGTAACTATTATCTTGTTTAAAACAATCCCGCAGATCTACTTTTGTCTATATATATTTAAAAGCCACTTGTTTAGCGTTCTACGTTTCTGCTCTAGCGAAAAATGGTAGTGTTCACATACAGTTATGCCTACATGACATTTTAGAAATCCAAAACGAAGGAGTTACTATTCGGGATTTTAGCGATAATAGGAGGGGTATTGATACACTTTACTTTCGGACACTTTTATACGATCGGTGAGTTTTTTGATATAATTTTATGGTCTAGCTAACATGGTTCCATATATCATGGGTTACATTAAAGCAAGAGTCCAGCCGGATGTTAGAGATGAACTCGTTATTTGGCTGTCTGCTCTCGCGCTCGGTGTACAAGGCATTTCTATGCCACTCGGTGGTTTTTTGGCAAAGAAGATAGGCTTCAGAATCGTTGTTGCGATCAGTTGCCTACTTGAAAGGTGAGACTTTCTATACACCTATGCGTACGTTTTCTTAACTTGTAGTGCTTTTTGAAGCTTGGTTTTAGAGTTTGCTGTGGTGCTGTATCTGTTTCACATAATGTACAGTGCACATAAAAGAATTACAGATTTATTTTCAGTATATCGCTAGCCATTTAGTGCGCATGCTGACCTGCAGTAACTTCTATTGTGTGGTTTCGTTTCTTCATCAGTTTTGCCACGTTGGGTTTATAAGACAAGTGCTTCCGCTAGCCCTGTAATCGATATCGAATACGTGCTGACTTTTTATGCTTTAGTTTAAATTTGCGTATCCCCAATTATTTATACTAGTTTTGGGATAAGCCGGACATACAACTTAATCTTCACCCTTATGGTTGCATAACGCACTTCTTGGGTTGCTTTGAACGAACATATCCCCTCTCATCTCTTTCCTGTTTGCGTCTGAGCGCACTAAATCTGACCGTCCCCTCTATTGGATCTGCAGCTTTCCCGCTTAGCCGCTAACCTATCAACATATACTATGCCGTATATTAATCTCCTTTTCCTTCGTATCATTAGTTACCCTAAATAAACGCTTTAACGTCTCACCTACAAGGTATCTTTAACATACATCATGGGTACACGTGTGAAATAAATTTGGCTTGTTAACTTAGAATAACGTTTGGGACTTGTTGTGCGTGTTAAATTAAATGGACGTTGTATGGTCCAGCTTTGATGAAGCGCGGCTGAGTTTGGTCTGTTTGTCTATTAAGTGACTGCAAGTATGTTCGGGCGCTCAGCAGGCTCAAACATGACTTACTCGACAGAGCTGTGTACATTTATGTAAAGGCTACCCGAAAATTAGTCGCATGCAGTGGCATATAAGATTTGACTTTGTTCATTTTCTATTATGCAGGGCTGAAAGGGTCTATTTTATTTAGTGATTGCAAGAAGTAACATGAGGCGTAACTTCCTGAAAAAGAGGAAGCACGTAAAAGTTAGATGCAGTTTTAGAATGGACAAAATAACTCATTCATTTCTACTTGATGCTTTAATTCAACTTCTTTTCTTGCCTGGCCATTAATTATCTTCGTTCTTCTGACCTTATCCTAAGGCTTTTCCATTTGTGACCAAGTTTGCAGTATCGTACTAAAACCTTGGTATAACTGTGATCGTTCTGTTTCACAGTCTCCACGTTGAGGCCATCCTGGGCGTTTACTGGTCGTATCATTTCGACCACTTGCAATACCATGTCGGCGTCAACTCTGAACAATTTGCACTATGTTATTCTTGCACTTATTGCTTTCTCTAGTGCACCGTAGCGCCATCACTATTATGATATTGTAAATCAGTGAGTTAGTATCACTCATTGCGAGGTCCTTACAGTATACTACTTCTGCGGTGCGCTTAAACTTTTCAGCGGCAGCGTCCTCCTAACGTATGTAACAATACAAAAATCCTTCGCTGGAGTCATGATAACCTATTCTCTAATGAAAGGCGCTGGTCTTGGCTTTGGCTATTCTGTGGTTTTGGCAGTTGCAGGCACGGTGAGTCTATGAGAAGGTGCCGTGTATGTTTTGCACTCCTTATTTGCACTCACTTGGTGTTAACCGTTTGCTTGTTTATTATCTGTGATTCTGTGGATTTCGTCAGCATTTTTACGGCTCTCAGAAACTTACTTTCTAATATATCCCTAAATAACCTATCAAGCGTCCTTCAACGCATTTTGTAGACTTCGTGAATTTTTGTGCCTTAAATCGTTGTCTTATTCTTTATTTATAGGTTCCATTTTAGATACAGCTCTCCAAGGATTCAACTAGAAATACCTATGAACATCTTAGGTTTGAGCAACAATAAATCGAGGGGGATTCACGGTAAGCATCGGCTTATCGCGAGTTCACCTCAGAATGGCCTATTCGTTTACTCACAGTATGCTCACCTTGGCACTGTGTCTATACAATAAGCCTAAGCATTGTTATATTAAGAAATGTCTAGTCAGAACTAAACACTGAAAATATGAAACTAAACTCAGCAAGTAAAACTGTCACTGAGTATATGCAATAGTAACGGCTACAAACTATCTCATTAACAAGCAGAGTCAGACTGGACTGACGATTTACCAATCAAAGGTCTAGTTCCTGTTTAAGTTCAAGTTCAGTTTGAGCAGGAAAGGTAGAATATTCCTTAATATGTCGTTGAAGCAGGAGAGAGTTCGCAGGATCTATTTGAGACCGAAGAGATCCAAATCAATACGCATGAATTACATCACGGTCAACCAGTCAATCCCCACGCGGTCTGCACTAGCAGTTCCCGCTGTACCGGCCGCGTAATTAAGAATAAAGGCTAACATAGCGAAATCGACAAAAACAATACTTATTATTGTAGCACAAAAGCATGTGTAGATAAGGAAATAATAGTGAGAGTGACAAGCGGAGGAAATTGAAGTGGATGCGGAAATTAAAAACCAAATGGATTGGTCTGAAACTGCGCCCCAAGGGCGTCGAGTCGACGTTTAAACTCCTCCACCTTTTGGTACTAATACGACTTCGCTGGATAGTGCGTTCCATTGGTCGACGACTGTACATTATAAACGAACATCAGCTCTAACGCGATCGGATCAAGGCTTATTCAGCTTCAGGGGTTGACCACGAAGAAACGGCATGTGAACTGGATGGAATAGTCTAGTTAGCCCAAGCCCAATCATGGCCCTCAATATACGGTGCGTCAGGATCAGGTCGACCCGAAGGCGTCTATAGTGCATTGAAAACATCTGCAATCTGTGCGGCTTCTCTGGGTACTGGAACTGCTTCAATCTTTGCACCATTTTCTTTCCAGTCCTTAGAACTCGTTTGACTGTCATCTTGTAGCGACCTGGAGATTCCCCCGTATGACTGTGTAAACCATTCTGAAATATTCAAATTATGGCTTTCTTATGTATTAGGGAACTATTCGGTTTGCCTGTTGGAATGTTGTTCCCGTTTGTTGGAAACACGAACACGATCTCCGCCTTTGGCGCGCGGCTCGACTGCGAACGACGCTCCGTCTACGCTCTCGACGCCAACGACGTTCTCCCTAGCTAGCTCTCTCTGGGTGTCCTATTTTTAGCATTAGCTAACGCTCCTCCCGTCCAATAAACTTCTTCCCTAGTTTACTTTTGTGTCTTCTACCCACTGCTTTTGGTTGGCCGTCTAGTTGCATACCGGATATATAGCGCACGATCTACGCGCTATAATTGGTGACCCCGAGAAAGAAGCTTTTTCGTGAGTTTGATACTAATATTTCTTTTCAGATCCGGTAACTTATTCTGTCTACCTTTCTACTTTTACTCTTTACTACTTGCGTTTACATTCACGCTCCAGAATTATTTCACCATGAAAATCATTCACCCAGATTCTGACGATCAGGTTAGTGGGTTCCGTTTCCCCATCCCGCCTTTCCGAGAGACTAACCCTAAGGCCTGGTTTAACCAGCTAGAATCTATTTTTTCACTACATGGTGTTAAGTCTGACAGCGTAAAATTTCACTGCGTTGTGGCAGTACTTCCTGCGCAAGTCGTCGATGACCTCGACGACATCCTGGAGCTTCCGGAATATCAGAAAAGTTATGATGAGCTTAAGGCCATCGTTTTAAAGCGATTTGGCATATCAGACCATGCTCGCGTTATGCAGCTTATTAACGAAACCGAGCTAGGTGATCGAAAGCATTCGCAGTTGCTGCACAAGATGCAGGCTCTAGCTAAGCCTCTCGCTGTTGGCGACTCTTTCCTTAAAGAGATGTGGCTGCGTCGCCTGCCACGTGACCTGCGCAATCCCTTGTATGCAAACGATGCGCCTCTTCCTCAGCTCGCCGATATTGCCGACCTTATTTGGGAATCCAACGCCCAAATATCCCAGGTTCAGTCTACCTCCAGTACAGAGGTAGCAGAACTAAGAGCCCAAGTAGCCACATTGACCAACCGACTAGAGAAGCTAACACAATCCGGATCGAACCGGCGAAATCGTTCCAGTAGTCGCAGTCCTCGTAGATGACGTTCGAAGTCTCCCCCTAGGTCAAGCTATTGCTCGTACCACGAGCGATTTGGTCATCAGGCCAGATCATGTCGCCCACCTTGTTCCTTCAAGCGCAACATGCAGGGAAACGAGTAAGCCAGCACGTAGGGGCGACAGACGTTGCTGGCTGCCCCAGTCGCCTTTTCTTTTTCACCGATCGCAGTACGGGAGTACGCTATCTCGTTGACACCGGCGCAGAAGTCAGCGTTATCCCACGTGATTCTAACGATATCGGAGAGGCGACCGGTTCATTGCGCGCAGCAAACAGCACTACCATTTGCTTGTATGGTCAACGCTCGCGCACGCTTAATTTAAACCTACGACGTTCCTTTAAATGGATCTTTCTCGTCGCAGATGTCCAGACGCCAATTCTTGGCCTTGACTTCCTGCAGCACTTCGATTTGCTTGTTGACGCGAAGCAACACCGTCAGATCGATCGTCAAACAAATCTGGCAGTTATAGGTACTTTGACCGACATTGAGTCAATCAGTCCTGTATACGCCAACCTGTCAAGCTCGCCTATCGGTCAGATGCTTAATACCAAGTTCCCCCAAGTCTTTCGTACAACGGCACCGTTTTCACCCGCCACTGGTGCTGCGAAACACCACATCGTTACGAAAGGTCCGCCTGTTTTTGCCAAAGCCAGGCGAATGACCCCTGACAAGTTGAAAATTGCTCGCGCGGAATTCGAGCACATGCTTTAACTAGGCATCGTTCGTCCGTCTAAAAGTCCCTGGGCGTCGCCGCTCCACATGGTTCCCAAAAAGTCAGGAGACTGGCGCCCATGTGGTGAGTACCGAGCGCTCAATAACGTTACTGTTCCCGACCGATATCCGATTCCTCACATTCAGGACATCACGGCAAGCCTGCGCGGCACCCGTGTGTTCTCGAAAATCGATCTGGTTCGCGCGTATCACCAGATTCCAGTCGCTGAGGAAGACATACCGAAGACTGCCGTAATCACGCCGTTCGGGTTGTTCGAATTTTTGCGTATGCCGTTCGGTCTTCGCAACGCAGCCCAGACTTTTCAACGACTCATCGATTCAGTCACTAGAGGTCTAAATTTCGTTTATGCATACATCGACGATATCCTAGTTGCCAACGCTTCTAAAGAGCAACACGCAGAACATCTCAAAATGCTTTTCGATAGGCTGGCCGCTAATAACATCACTGTCAACCTTGACAAATGCGTATTCCAGCAGCCTTCCGTCGAATTCCTTGACCACCATATTGATCAGTATGGTATACGGCCTCTAGACGATAGAGTCCGCGCCATCAGAGACTTTCCGGATCCGACTACGTTAGCCGCTATTCGCCGTTTTAACGGTATGCTCAACTACTATCGACGTTTTCTTCCACACTGTGCCAATTTGCTAAGTCCACTAACCGACCTACTTCGTGGACGTAAAAACGGTCAGGTGGAACTGACTGTCGCTGCTGCGGAAGCCTTTAAATCCAGCAAAGAAGCCTTAGCCAAAGCCGTTATACTTCATCATTTCGATCCGAATGCTCCGCTCAGTGTTGCTGTTGACGCATCGGACACCGCCATTGACGCCGTCCTACAGCAACATACAAATGGGGGCTGGAAACCTCTTGGATTCTTCTCAAATCGCCTACAACCTGTCGAAGTCAAGTACAGCACGTTCAGTCGCGAACTGCTGGCCGTTTACTCTACCGTTCGACATTTTCTACACGTCCTCTAAGGTAACACCTTCATTATCTTCACCGATCAAAAGCCGCTTCCCTACGCATTCCGAAATCAATCAGCTCGACACTCACCACGTGAGATTCGTCAGCTGGATTTCATTGCCCAATTCTCGACTAATATCCGACACATTTCTGGTCAACAAAATGTCGTCGCTGATGCTCTTTCAAGAGTATCTGCGATCGGCCCTGCCGGGCAGGCAATCGATTTGTCTGCTATGGCCGCCGCGCAATCAAAGGACCAAACCCTTTCGGAACTTCGTGATTCTTTTTGAAGATATCCCCGCACCCTTTGCCGTCATCTGATGTTACAATTTTATGTGACACATCTACTGGACGACCTCGACCTATCGTTCCAGAAACTTTTCGCCGTATCGTTTTCGTTAATCTCTACATTATCGCCCACCCAGGCATTAAAGATACTGCTAAGCTTGTCTCTGAGAGATACGTTTGGCCGGGAATGCAACGCGATCTTACGCGTTGGGCACGCAGCTGTCTCACCTGCCAGCAAGCCAAGATTCAGCGGCACGTGTCCGCTCCGCTTGGTCGCTTTCCGTCCTTTTCAGCGCGATTTGCCCATGTCCATCTCGACATAGTGGGACCTCTGGCCCCGTCCAAAGGAATGGTCTACATCTTGACCATGATCGATCGTTGCACCCGTTGGCCCGAAGCCGTTCCCATCCCTGACGTAGCTGCGGAAACCGTAACGCGCGCTTTCCTCGAGCGCTGGGTCGCTTCACACGGCTGTCCAGCCACAGTGACTACAGACCGCGGTCCGCAATTCGAATCTACGA